AATGATTTAGCTACATGGTTGCTATCAAACAGTGAATGCTCTAGAATAACTAAAAACAGAAAGTACTATCTCCTATCTTCATCTAACAGCAATTTGAATTAACCATACTCATGACGCCGATCCACATACAACATTACAAAAACAAAGGAGCATAAATTAAACGTACGGACACCCGGACACGAGATATGAAATGATAAGTAATTACAAAAGACCATCTTCTATTCACCTCAAGTGACCGATGCTGAGATAAAGATAAATTTGTAGGGTTCTCAAAAATATTGGAAGTTAAGTGAAAACTGAAGACATAAGATTACTACAAAGTTCAACCTTTACATATATATTCGGGTCTACTATAAGAGCTTGAAATGAGACCTCGATCAAATAAAATTCTACACAGGAATTAAGAACTTGTGCGTTTCACAATCAACTAGATAAGCCTAAAGCAGATTTCAGGCATCAACAGCACCGGGATAGGATGCATTGCCTAAGAAAAGCACATTTGTCAGTCTACCTAGAAATTTCTGTATGTTCCATTTGGACCACATTAGGTCTAGCATACTACTTCGCAATACTGGGTCCAATTCATGTACCTCTTATGGCATGATTGGTATGAGGGAATGACATATGAATGGAATGATCATCCCCTTACTCATTCCTTATCCCATGTTTGGTAAAAAAAAAAATTGTAAGGAATGATCATTCCAATGGTAACTGCAAAACTCTTTTGTATGGGATTAGTCATTCCATAGCTAATGCAATGTTTTCTCATTCGCTCGAATTTGTAGGAATCAATTTTTCAAAAAATAAGATTAACAAATACTAATAAAAAATAAATATATAATATATACTATAAATCATGATTAAATTATAATAAATAAATTTATTTTAAAAAATAAAATTCATATAAAAAATTTAAAAACTTATTTTTATTTATTGTTCACATTTTTATTAGATATATTAAATTCATATATGAAAATAAAACTAACAATTTTAAAATGATTTTATTTTATTTTAATACATCATATATATCCATAAATTGAATTTTTGAATTATAATATAAGACCTTATATTCGACCATATATGCTTATAGGGGTTTATGTAGTGATATATTTTGTATTAATTAATATATATATGAACACACAATTCACTGATTTATTATATAATATATATGAGTGTAACAATACGAAAATATATTTATTAAAATATAGTATATATTTTTTTTAAGAAAAAAAATAATTTTATTATTATCATAAATAAAAAATAACATTAACATACCTATTTTTTTCTATAAAATAGTGATAAAAGGTCATATAGAATGCTAATGTCATTTATTATTCCTTCTGCATACCAAAAATGCATCTATGGAAAAACTTGTTTCATTCCTTTCCCATATTCATTCTAATCATCAAATCATTTCATTCCAATATACCAATCATGCCATTAGTTCATAATCATTTAGAACCCCCCACCCTCCCCACCCAATCCCCCTAAAATGTTAATAAAAACATACTAGTTCACAAGAGTTCATATGACAATAACTAGTACAAACTCAGACCACCTCTCTCCACCAATCACTTGTCACAGAATGGTGCTAAACCAGTCAGTGGAAATCTCAAATCCCAATTAAATTCATCATTTGTCAATTGGTATTCACAGTCATCAAAAAGTACATAAAAAAATGTCCACGTTAGAGTTTGTTCCACGTAAATAAGCTTCATAGAGCATGAACCCTTCCCGCCCAACTTTGTCAAAATCAATTTATGTAACTAAAATAGATAAGTTCAATGTGCTAGGCAATGTTCTTCCTCAGCAAACCCTCTGTAATATCTAATCAAACAGATACTCCAAATCCTCATTATCATCGTACCAAAAGAACAATCCAAACAAAAATGATCGGCAAAACAGATCCGGGACTCACCATCACCCTTCAAAGCAGGGGGAGCAGTTCCAGCTCCCTTGGCGAAGGACCGAGCTGCAACAACACACTCCGGCCGCATAACACTTTGCCCAGAGTACACCTGCCCAAAAAGAAAAAGATCAGAAATAAATGAAACATTAGATCGACACCTCGCATTTCAATCATTTCAACCCCCAAATCAATCAACTGAAAACCCTAGCGTTTTGACAAGAGATCCAGCTGCGCAGTAAAATGAAATGCGATGAGATGAGAGAAATTGAGCGACCGAAAAGTGGGACCTGGCGAGTGGATCTGGTGAGCAGGCGAGTGGCGAACGCCATTGTCGGATTGCAAGAGGGAATCTGCGGAGCTTTTTCGTCAGTGTTCAAGGTGTCTGAGCGGATCCTCTGGCCCTTTACCTTTGTTCCAGCTGACCTAGTTTCTCTCTCTATCTCAGGTTTCCAAGAAGGGCAGAAATGGAAGAAAATAGATGGATTAATCGTTTTGGGAGTATACGCCTAAACGGCGTCGGTTTGGCGGGTTTTGTTTTGTTTTTCTTTTTTTTTTTTTTTT